TGCCCCAAAAATCTCACCTCGGACAACTAAAACTCACACTTGGACAGCTTGGCATACAACTACCTCTCGTTCAGCACCTTTAAAACCAACCTTAGATGCTCACGGTAATCCTCCAAAGATCTAGAATACACCAATATATCATCAATGAAGATCACCACAAACCTGTCCAAGAATGACCCGAAAATCATGTTCATGTAATCCATGAACATTTCCGGAGCATTAGTGACACCAAAAGGCATCACTACATACTCAGTCCTTATCGTCAACTTATTCAGTTGCCAATAATCAACACACAAACGGGCCCCACCATCCTCCTTCACTAAAAGTACCGGGGCACCCCAAGGAGAAACATTGGGCCTTACCATCTGTTTCTCCAACAAATTCTCGATCTGTCTCTTCAACTCTACTAACTTAGCTAGAGTCATCCTGTAAGGAGCCATTAATGATACCGGTCCTGCACCTGGTACCAGATCAATAATGAACTCAACATCACGCATAGGTGGCAATCCCGACACATCATTTGGGAACACCTCAAGAAACTCAATGACAATCTCAGTCCAAGTGATGGCCCTCTTCATCTCAACATTCAAAATGGAAAACAACATGAAACACTCAGCTCCATCTCTCATCAATTGCTCAGCCTGACCCGCTGGCAACAACACCTCATCCTCCAACTGAAAAAATACCAACTCTCTTCGAGCACAATCTATAAGGATGTGATGGGCAGATAACCAATCCATCCTTAAGATTATGTCGATATCCACCATAGGTAACACAATCAGGTTCACCCGGAACCTCCCACCAAACACCTTTATCGGGCATCTCACACGCATCTTCGAATCACCACAAAAACTGAAGCCGGAGTAGACACATACCAATCAACGTGTAATGTAGACACTGACAAACCCAATCTTCCCACACAATCAACAGAAATAAATGAATGTGTGGCCTAGCCTGCCACATCTGAAACAAACATTCCCCGAATGGAAACAATCTCTAACCACGTGTGCTCCTCCACATCTATAGCATTCCACTGATGGTGCTCCACTCTGAGAAGTAGCAGGATGAGGTCCCCTACTGATAGCACCTCTCTAAGACTGAACAGGTCTGTCATAGGGTCCCCTCTGCTGGTCTCCCTTCCTGGATCCAGATGATCCCTCCTAAACTCTAGCAGTCTGCCGCTGCTACCACCACCCTCCAATCTCTCTCAACAGTCTTTTCCTTCTCAACCAAGGCAGGAAACTCCTCTATGGACATAGGAACTACGACCCTCTTCAGCTCATGCCTCAACCCCTCTGCAAACTTCCTACATCTCCAAGCCTCAGATATGGCCTGAGAGTAGAAACGAGCCAAATGCTCAAACCTCTTAGCATACTCTGATACAGACAGGCTCCCTTGCTGCAATCTCATGAACACCGCCTACTTAGCGTACCTAACGCTGTCCGGGAAATACTTCTCCATGAAAACTCTCTTGAAGCAATCCCAATCTACAATCACACCTTTACTCCCCATCATCTGCCTGGTGCCTCTCCACCAGTACTTAGCCTCGCCTGCCAGCATGTAAACTGCATAGGCCAACTTCCTCTCCTCAGAAGATCCCAAAACATTGAAGATCTTCTCCATCTCACACAACCACTAATCTGCCACATCAGGATCTGAATCCCCCCTTGAACTGACGAGGCTAACATTTCCTGAACTCTACTAAATCTCTCCCATCCTGAGAGACCATCGGTCTAGCTACCTCAACCGCAGCTCTACCCGCTTCCATCTGAGCAAAGTGAGCACTTTGCTACTGCATCACCATGGCCATCATCTCCATAGCCTTAGCAATCTGTTCAAATTGAGGCCTAACCATACTAAAAGAATTCAAACATTCTTTTACTAAAACTTCACCACTACAACTCACCAAAATTAACACATATCAGAGATATGAGATAATAGAAACCTAGAAGGATCACTCCCCGCAGAGTATCCCAAAAGACTCGACCGGCTCTAATACCATAAAAGTGTAACGACCCGCCATGGTCTCTACACTTAGTGGAATCGCACTACTGCTAGTGAAACTAAGAGAAATATTAAGTTGGATAACTCATACATACATGTACAAATAAAAATGAAAATAACTAAGTTTCTGGTTATAAAATAGAACTCCATATATGTACAGTCATCCCAAAAATAATATTCCCTAGTGTCGGTCAAGCACAGACAAAACCGTTACCCAAAATAGTAACTCTAACACAAGGATCAAAACTCCTCGTCTCGCAGCAGACACCTCAACTCCAAGCTAGCCCTGACCTGCTCCCATACCAAGTATGATCATCGCAGTTCCACCACATGGAAATAGAAGGGTAAGCTAGAGTTTAAAAATCAATCATACAAGTACAGACAATAGTCTATACCACACAATCATCCAACTATCAATCATGTTCATAGAGTCACACCATACTCTATCCAATACTACTCATGTATAACATACAATCCATCAATCGTGAAGCTAAACACCACACACTTCATCATATTAACAATCATGTAATAAATGTATCTCATGATAGATATTAATGGATATCAATCATCATCACAAACGACCATACAGTTCAACATAAAAACCCAACTCATTCATACCACTTAGAAACAACTTTAATACAACAATAACAACAACAATATACAACTTAATATTTAATGTGTCGTCACGCATGTACAATTGGGAGATCTCCAACAACTGAGGTTGAGCAGTCTAGGTGGCATAAAGCCTATCGAATCTAGCGTTTGACCTATCTCAACCAGGTCAGGTATAGAACAATGTTAGGAACTTCGAAGAGAACCAGGTATAGACAACAATAGTCGATTGCTCAGGTGTGCCACTTAGACTCGGAGGTCTAGTACTACTGTCAAGATAGAAGGGTTTGGGTTTGAGCCTACCACGGCCTTGGCTAGCATCACCAATCCACATGTGGAGTTAGCCCACCCACTGTCCTCCAAGTACCACGCACCCTCCAGTACCTAGTCAAAGACTACATCTCTAACTAGATACCTTACTCAAATTGGTCATTCAACCATGACATGGATCGACTACTTCCATGTCGCCTACACAGTACTAAGGGATTCAACTTTAAAACAACTTTCAACTTATCACCTTAGTACTATGTATCTCAACATAGGACATATATCTTCACCATATGTCCCCAACTTTTCAACTTTACAACAATAGACACCATAACAACTTTACAACAATAAACATTTGGCCGCTTGTAATCGGTATAACTCGGCCTGGCCCCTATACCGTGGTTGCTTTGTACACGTGTGCCTCGACCTTGCCCACACACGGGATTAACTAAGTCCTAGAGGAGAACAACACAACATCCACTCCAAGGGACAACTTCCCAAGGAGGGTTTTTTCAACAAATTGAGCTCTCAGAGCACCACAACTATCTCAATCCACACAATGGGATGAGAAACTTCGAAAACATCTCCCCTAGTCCTAGTGATCAACAACTCATCATCACAGCTTAATCATCTTAACAACATAAACAACATACAACTTTTCAACAATAGACATCTTAACAACTTTACAGCAATAGACATCTTAACAACAATAGACAACTTACAACAATACAACAATAGGCATTATATACCAGCTTGACAACTTCTTATTCAATCATACAACTCTGCAACTTTAATAATTTTAACAACATGCAAACAACTTAATTAAACAACTATAGTCATTACAATATCAACTTAATGCAACTTAACAACTTTATAAACAACTTCAACAATATACAACATATTTAAAATTTATCTATCATGTCAACTTACACATAAACAGCATAAATCAACTTAAGCACCCAACAACTCAACTATTTCAACAAAAGAACACCATGCATAAAGCTTCCCTAACTCTCCTGAAATTAAACAACCTACATTCTAGCCTCCCTCACCTGAAGATTGGCTCAAAATAGCCAATAACTGAGAAGAAGTAGAATTCCCTTTTAAAGCTCAACCCGGAACTTCAATCCTCCCAAAGCAAGCTTCCTAATCTGAATTTCAAGAAAAGACAGAAGGTATTAGTGATCTAGAACAGAAAAGGAATCATACAGAGAAATTTGGGAGAGAAAGGAGCTCACAGACCCAAAGTCCTTCTCTCTAAAACTTCTATCTAAAAACTTCACTTTCTCCTCAACCACCAACCCCTTTTTTTAGAAGTTCCGGAGTAGCCAGAACGGCCTATTCTGAATCCGGAATGGCCCGTTCTACACCCCCTCATCACGTACAAAAATTACATGCAGAACGGCCCGTTCTGAAACCAGAACAGCCCGTTCTGAGATTCATCCAGAACGGCCCGTTCTCCATCCTGAACGGCTCGTACTCCCTCCAGAACGGCCCTTTTTGGGGTTTGGAACGGTCCGTTCTCCCTCCAAATGGCCCGTTCTCAACTACGATTTACAAGTCAATTTAGTAGTTTGGAACGGTCCGTTCCGGGCTACTAAATCACCCATATTGAGTTTTTTGGGCATTCTGAAATAACTTACTACGTTACACTTAATAATTTATTATATTATTTTATTTTAATGTATAATATAATATATATATATATATGTATATAAATATTAATTTTTTATAATATATATAATTTTTTTTAAATCATGTTAAATTTGATATATATAATATTGAATATATTATGATTGAACGATTGAATTAATTAAATTTATATTATATAAAAAGTATAAAATTTAATGTAATTAAATATTAAACCGACCTTCTCTATGTGTGTATTTATATATATTTGGAATTAGCATAAAAAAATACATATTGGAATTAGACCATCTGCGGCGCCAGCAGTTTATGTTTTGTTTGACTTAATTAGCTCTGACTTGGTCTTTGCTATTATGTGGTAATTTCTTTGCAATTATATTGTATTTATTTGCCTTACATAGTTTGACCATTAAAATGGAGCACATGGAGTCTATCAATTTGGAGAAAACATATTATATCCACTCTACTATATAAAATCTATCACCCCCTTCCTCTCTTCACTGAAGGGGGTGTCTTTCTTATTTACTTTGTTCTATAAAGTGTGCCTTTTGTGTGGGTTCAGTTTCCATGGATTCCATGTCATTTATATCTTCTCCTAATGCTTGTTCACTCACAACGGGTACATATTTATGCATATACGCGTCTTCTTAAGCATCAACTACCATTACTTTCTTCTTTCATTTCATCCATTTTTCATTGCAAATCATTTGCTGAGTTGATATATCAGGAGTTATTCATAATTGTAGGTGGAAATCTCGGTCGCAGGCAACATTCCACCAATAATATTTACTATACAAGTATGTCTCATATTCTTCTGTTACTTTAAGGAATTAATGGTTATGCATTGTAAAAACTTTACACCATCAATATTCAAAAATTATTATTAATATGAGTTTTGAATATAATTATTATAGAAGTCGACAAACTTAATATAATTACTGTTTATTTAAATACAAATTTAGAAATATTTTTTAGAGTTTTTTTTACTGAAGAAGACATTTTATTTTCGGTAAAAAAAAAAACCTAAAAATCACTTATAATTTGTAATTTAAATTATACACTATCAGTATATAAAATTTTCTTACTCTAATAAGTATTTATGATTACTTAAAATCTTGAGTATCTGATAGTCTTTCACTTTTTTGATTCTTCCGCTATGTGAGATGTATTAGTAGGAGGAATCACCATTATCCTTTAGTATTACTAAACTATTTTGTGCTTTTACTTGGCAAATATTGACGTTGATATCTTCTCTCTTCTTCTTCTTCTTTTTTTTTTTTTTTTGTGGTGTGTGTGTGTGCTGTGAGGCTTCTGATATGGTAATGATATGGATTACATCTTAACTTTAAAATCCAATAAATTAAAGAGTGACTATATATTGATAAAAAGAAATTAACTAACAGCTTTTCACCTTCCCTGTCGATTATGTTGAACCTGTGTAGAGATACTTAGGGGGATGTTTCCAAGTTGAAAGGATCGGAGATAACTTTTTAGGTTTTAAATTAAAAAATTATATATGTCAACCTCATATTTTAGTTGTTTTTTTTTTTTTTAAGTAATAAATTATTTCATTCATGTTTGGCTTCTAAAATTGGGAACTTACCGAGGATGGGCTAATGGGCCTCTTTTGGTTTTCTTTAATAATAAAAGTACATTTATTTATATAAGTCAACTCTCACACATTTATTTATAAAATTACTTTTTTATATTAAGAAAATATAATTCATTGTTTAATTTTTTTTTAAAAATAAAGAAAAATAGGAATATTCAATTTGGATATAGTCTTATATATATATATATATATATATAAGTTTGTTTTACAGCATGAAAAAATTATTTTAAAATTTTTTTAAAAATGTAATTCATCTTAAATTTAAATATTTTGTAATTTTAAAATGTAAAATGATAAATATATTTAATTATTTTAAAATTATATTATAAATAAAATTGTATTATTTTTATAGATTTATAATTTTATAAATTACATATTGAGTATTTCTTGTGGATTAATAAAAGGTTATTGGAATCGGAAGTGACAAAATGTCGCTTATACTTGTCTCATCCAATCCCACCTCCCTCAGTTCCGTCTCGTATCGTTTATAGTAAATATTAGTATTTATATAATTAAGTTTTGTTATTATTAGTTTATTTAGTATAATAATAATAATTAAAGTGCATTTTTTTATAGATAGAAATTTAATATTGTTGAATAAAATATTATTTTTATTTTTTAAAAACATCTATCTTTGTGTTACCTTTTTTAAGTTTTATAAAAATTTCATATTAAAATTTTCTTTAAGCCTAATAATATATGGATCGATCCTGAATATTTCTGATCTCTACGAGGTTATTGCTTCTGAATTAACTCAATATATGAAAATCAATACTTGTATATTAGGAAACTTTAATGTTTTCTCTAATAAAAATAAATTTTAGTGGTCACTTGTTTTAATTCAATTTTCAAGAATCTACACAAACATCCTTCTTTTGTTATGCATGGCCACTAATACTACATTGAATATTTGGTCTTTTAGGTTCATTTGTATCAAAAGCTTCACAACCCGAACGGAAAACTCAAATAGAATGTAACCTTTTGAGATTCCAACAACCAAGTTTAAATCATCATTTCAAAGGCATTGAAGGCCAAGAACGCAATAGGAGATATGTAGTGAAAGCAGCACCCGCACCATCTTTTGACTCTGAATCTCATGTTTCTAATCCCAAAAGCATTTTCGACTCCACCAAAAATTTCTTGTCTAATATATACTTCTTTTGCTATCCTTACTCAATGATTGCTCGAGTAAGTTCAAACTTTTCTAGTATTATTAATAAATAATTCTCAAATTTATGGATAATATTTAATTATGTTCATTTGTATGATTTATGTTTTTGGATAATAATAATATCTGATTGTTTTAAATTGGAAACCAGACACTAGGCACAATTTCGGCGTCTCTTATTGCAGTGCAGAATGTATCAGATATATCTCCACTATTTTTTATTGGTTTATTACAGGTGAAACTCCAAATGTTTTGTTTCTTTTTGAATACCCAATTGTAAACTAACCTTTAACCTTGTTAATCCATTTTGAGTTTTTTTAAAATGTTTCAGGTTTTGATTCCTCACTTCTTTATGGATCTTTATATTAATGGTGTGAACCAAGTGTTTGACATTGAAATAGACAAGGTATGAAACTTTAAAAAAATAAATAATTTGGATCAATAATAAATTGCTTGTTGACAGATGTTATATACACTTTTGTTTTTAGTTCACACACTTCTCTTCTCTATAGTTTACAAAAGTTTTCTTAAATATTTTTTAATTTACTCCTTTTAGAATAAATTTTATCTTCTAAATCCCAATTTTCCCCATCTTCAATATTGCATACATAAAAAACAAAGGTGTGAATTTTTTAAAGACATTTCCAATGGTACAACCTGTTCATTTTATGATAAATTATCAATTAGAAACAATATTTTTTTTTGTTATTACTGTTATAGAAAATTGTTTTGTGATTCTTAAATTAAATTTCCGAAAAGTAGTTTATGAAAAAGAAATATATTTATTTTTTCAAAAATATTTTTCGGAAGTATAATTTTATTTTTTTAGAAAGTACTTTTTGAAAATATATTTTTATTCTTCTAATAAGTACTTTTTAGAAAATAAAATATAATTTCAAAAAATACTTTCGAATGATAAGTTAATTTACTCTCCTCTAAAGTATTTTTTTTGAATATATAGTTTTATTCTTTTGAAAATAACTTTTTAGAAGTATATTTTCTCTTTCAGAAATATTTGATGAAAATATATTTTTACCTTTTCGGTTTGGAGTTGAATGTTATAATATACTTTTGGAAATTTCTTTTAAAAAGAGTAAAAATATACTTTTAGAAAATATTATTCAAAAGAGTAAATTTATTTTCCAAAAAATACATTTTAAAAATATAATTTTGTCGTGAAATTTTTGGAAGTAAACTTTTTTTTTCTCTTTTGAGAAGTACTTTTCAAAAAAGAATGTTAAGGGAACAAACAAAAGAAAAAAGGTAAAGAAGGTGTGTGTTTTAATGGATCGAAGTACACTTAACGAAAGCCTTATTTTTGTTGATGTCCTTTGGGCTTCTATATATTATTCCATAAAAAGTATAATAACGATGAATTTGTTGTCTGATTTATCTATGTTTGAATATTCATAAACATATGAAGACTAGGTATAGTCAAGAGATTTTGCTTAAATAATTCATATGATTTTGACTACCAAACCCTTTTTTATATTTTGGTTTGTTAGTCCCCAAATTATTATATCCTTTGATACGGTGGTGAAACATGCAACCTTTTATAGCTTACAAACTTTTTTTTATTTTATTTTAAAAAAGTAGCATATGATTTGTTTTAATACTAATTTATCTTACGTGGTTTGTTGCAGATAAATAAGCCATATCTTCCATTGCCATCTGGGAAATTATCTTATACAACTGGTGTTACTATTGTTGCGTCATCTGCAATTTTGGTGCAATATAGACTCATCTCTTTTATTATAATACTTTTTACTACAAACTTTATTAATAGAGTAGAATAAAATATATTTTATTTTCTTGCACAGAGTTTTTGGCTTAGCGGAATTATAGGATCTTGGCCATTATTTTGGAGTCTTGCAATATGTTTTACGTTATGGAGTGGCTACTCAATCAATGTGAGTGATTTTCAATGCATCTAAACTTCTTTTTCCCCTATATAATATTTAAGGACGTCGTAAGTATGTAAAAGTTATGAAAGTGATCCTGTACAACTAATTGTTGGTTTTTAATTAGTATTTATTTATAAAATTCTTCCAAATACGTGTGTTTTATAAAAGTAAAATAATGATAAATTTAAATGATTATATTTTAAATAAATAAACTTTTTTTTTGTCAAACTTAGATGACAAAATTTCAACAACATTTAATAAAAGCATTGTTTATCGGTAATGAGAATTAAAAAAAAACAAACACATTAATTGAAACAGATAAATGCTAATTAACATAATACATTGAACTACAAACCAACATGTTTCCTTTAAAATTTTGTCATGGACTCTTTCTCATAATAAAGAAGCGGTACTCTTTTTTTTCCTAGGTGATTATAATGAATAATATTTTTTATTGTTGTAATTCCCACAAATTCCAATTCTGGACAATATAATGAAGCTGTTGTTTTTAATACATTTTAATGAAACATTTTATATTTGTCTATTTGTCTCCGTATATGTATTTCTCCTTTCAAGATGAGAGAGAGAGAGAAATCATTTATTGCAGTAAAATTTTAGTTATATGCCTTATCTTATATAAAAATTATAAAACTACTATTAATTAACATTCATCCAGTATAATTATTTATTTTTTATTTTTTTTAATGAAAATCATGTTTTCATTCTAATAGTATTTCTTCTTTTTTTTTTTTGCCTCCATACTAAAAATATAATTCAAATTCTAACCTAAAAGTTTAGAATTACAATTTTACGACCTCTTTGTGCTAAATCATTTAAAATCCTCTTGAGCTACATTTTCTTATTAAGATTCATTATTCAAATACAAACAAACTTGTTAATTAGAATAATTGATACGATTTTGTTTTTCTATAAGAAACACACAAGTAAAGAAAGGCTCGTTTTGAATTTTGTTGTTTAATGGTGATAACACTGTTTTGAAACTTTTCAGCTTCCCCTGTTGAGATGGAAGAGATTTCCACAGCTCGTAGCAACGTTTATGTTTGCTAGTTGGGCATATATTTTCCCAATTACATTTTATCTTCACATGCAGGTTCTCTCTTATACCTATTGGTGCTTTTTATACACCTCTACACTCTAGTCTATACAAGCATGTATTAGCTTATATAAATTAAGAATAATAACAAATCCTTGTTAGCAGTTACAATTATATATATATATATATATATATATATATTATGCACACACAACTGAGTGATAGATATAATAAGTTATACAAAACAATTGGCAGCCTATATATTATATATATATATATATCGGATACATGATTAATTATTTGAATTCACCCATCATTATTGCATCAAGATGTGTGGGTGAGAAAGTTGAAGAAAAGTTGTTCATATGTAGAGAGAATAATGAGTTCCACTTTCATTGCTCAAGTTTGATATGTACATTTACTTTGAGATTTAAATATGACAATTATAATTATATCACTTGAATAAGAGGTTATAACTAACTAATTCTCAATAACTTACAAACAATTTACATGAAAGCTAATCATAAGCTATCAATTGATATCACTTTTATATGCATTAATTAATATACTTTTTTCCGATTAGTCCTAGGAATGCTTCCATGTTATTAATTAAAGAAGAAATGTGAAAGGAAGCCAAATATATATATATATATATATATATATATAAATTAATAATGCTAATTCATGTTACATTGTTCAGACATTTGTGTTCAAGAGGCCAGCAATCTTTCCAAGATCACTCATTGTTTCTATTGCATTCTTGAGTTTCTACGCTCTAGGAATAGCATTAAGCAAGGTAAAGGCATCTAACTTCTTATAAAATACATTTACTTTCAACATCAAACTTTTGGTTCAATATATTTGTATATGTTGTAAACCCTTTTATTGGATTTATATAGGATATACCTGATGTTGAAGGAGATACAAAACATGGCATTCATTCTTTTTCAGCACGTTTAGGTCAAAAACGGGTAAATTTGCAAATGCAACATCTTAATATACTTATTAATTTGTGCTTTCTTGTATAACATTGGTTTTCTCCTAACTAATTTAATTTTTGTCAGGTATTTTGGATTTGTGTTTTCCTTTTTGAAATGGCTTTTGGAGTTGGTCTCGTCGGATCAGCAATATCTTCTTCTAGCACATTGATTAAAATTATCACGGTAATATACTTTTATATGTGTAGGTTACATTTATAAGTGTATTGTATCCTTCTCCCACTTGAGAAGTTATTTGCTTTGCACCTTAAGATGAGGTTTTCATTTTGATCAGAGTATTGAATATAAAAGTAGATGTCATATAATATTCTAATTGTATATTAAATAATTTATTTTATGTCAATGTTTTAGGGTTTAGGGCATGTTATTCTCGGTTCAATTCTCTGGAACCATACCAAAAACATAGATTTGACAAGCCCAGCTTCCACTAGATCCTTCTATATGTATATTTGGAAGGTAATTCTTCTAAACATTGATTACCATTTGAGGAGTTTAGTTTTAAGTCATTATTGTAATGAAATGATTGTTTGATTAATTTTCCATTGTTTTGATAAATAAGTTTGTTTGATTTCTATTGACTTACAATTTCTAAATAAAATGTAGAATATATAGGTAAATTTGCTAAATTAACTCTTTATTTTTTTGTGAACATGAATTTTTATGGCTGAGTTGGTGCACCTTAAACATATTTCGGTCAAACTTCATCTTCTTGAGAAAAACTCAATACCATTCAAAGAACAAAACATACCAATACATAATTATTACTAGTTTACATGTTAGTGTCTAGTAAAGAAATGATTGTTTGATTACTTTTTCATTATTTTGATAAATAAGTTTGTTTGATTTCTATTGACTTACAATTTCTAAATAAAATGTAGAACATATGGGTAAATTTGCTAAATTAACTATTTATTTTTTTGTGAACATGAATTTTTATGGCTGAGTTGGTGCACCTTAAACATATTTCGGTCAAACTTCATCTTCTTGAGAAAAACTCAATACCATTAAAAGCACAAAACATACCAATACATAATTATTTCTAGTTTACATGTGAGTGTCTAGAGTTTATTTGTAAAGCATTATTAGTGTTAAAAGTTTTACACAATTAACTAATCAAAAATCACAGTTTATATGGTTTTTAAGATAATTATTTCAAAGTCAACAAACTTATTATATATGGCGGATTGTGATTAGATGACCGTGTAAAATTGTTCTACCTTGTCAATGTATCACCATTTAACCCCCTCCTATGCACACACACACACATATATATATATATATATATATATAT